AATGTTTTTAAATATTTTTCATCAAGTCAGTTCCACCTATTGCAAAATATGTATTCATGACTGACTATGGACAGTAGTAATAAGAACAAAATAGTTTCCAACCTCTATAAACATCAATCTCTAATTTTATTGGTGAATGACTGGCTAGGAGTTTGTATTAATAAACTTACAGATGCTGATTTCTATGAGGTTACTCACACAAAAAGTTTCAAACTGATCTGGTTTCCCTCTCTGTTCCACACTCTGCTGAAGCAAGAACACTCTGGCTCATCACACATCTGCACAATGCTCCCTGATGAAAGAGTGAATAGGCTCAATCTCTAATTTTATTGGTGAATGACTGGCTAGGAGTTTGTATTAATAAACTTACAGATGCTGATTTCTATGAGGTTACTCACACAAAAAGTTTCAAACTGATCTGGTTTCCCTCTCTGTTCCACACTCTGCTGAAGCAAGAACACTCTGGCTCATCACACATCTGCACAATGCTCCCTGATGAAAGAGTGAATAGGCGATCCTGATCGCTCTGCTGAAGCAAGAACACTGGCTCATCACACATCTGCACACTGCTCCCTGATGAAAGAGTGAATAGGCCATAGGATCCTGATACTTAACAGTTCAGTTTCTGGCTCTTGAAAATACTAAACAGTAATTACTTGGCCTTAAAGACTTCTATGAATAAATGTAGGTTTACAGATTCATTACAATCTATTAAGTCATTGTAGCTGAACTAAAAAGGTGTCATCTTGAGAAAAAAAAGGAAGTCTCCAGGCAGTATCCCAATAATTTTAATCAGATTGCAATCATTTTACCAACTCTGTGCTGAGTATTAAATGAATTGAAGAAGCATAGAGGGGTCATGTAGGGCAAGACTCATTTGTTTTCAATGAGTTTTCAAAGTTTTAAATTGTGATTTTACTTCATTTGTCTTTCAGGCTCATTATCTCACTACTGGTTGCCAAACCACCTTCTGCTTTGCAGATTATCCCATTTAGGGTTGTGTTCTCACTATTGAGAACCACTGCCTTAATGTTGGCACGTATTATTTTAAGGGATCTCTCATCAAAAAGAAACCATAAATGTTTAACTTTTGGGTTTACCAAGTCAGACAGAAAACACTTCTAGCACTCCAAGTATTTCTTGAGCCATCAAGCACACTGCAGGTTGGCCTCTTGCCTTCAAAATGCCTTTAAGGCCACAATAAGTGTCCAGTATGTTTGCATAAGAAATCACCCACATTTCAGTTTCCTTTTCGATTCAAGTAGCTTCAGAACAATTATTCTATTGTGTCATTTGTCTCGTTTTAGTGTGTGGACTGTGATTTTTTCTGGCTGTCAGTGAATAGTCCCTTTATCTTACTCAAATAGCAGTTTCAGAGGCAAAAGTATTTGGGGTCACCTTACCCCAGGCAAGCTTTAGCTCATACTTGCTGTTCTGACCCAACATTCTGCCAGTGCCTCTGACGTAGGATTATTTTAAATTAATACAGTTCTATAACCAAGACATATTACTTTTACTTTCATATTTTAAAGCTTTCTGGGGCTTCCTATATCCATCCATGCACGCTTTATTTTACATGATCACTGTTCCTTTTTATTCTCTGTGAAAAGTAACAAAGTAATTACTGAAACATACAGACCAAAATTTTATTACTGTAACCATTACGAGCTTCTGAACTTGAACTCCCATGCTAGATTATGCTGCTTGTATTTTCTCTTTATGTGTGCTGACTATTTTTTGTAATTCGGTCATAAAACATTATTATTTTAAAAGTAAGAATAGCAGTAATAGAGAAAATACTGTTTTTTAAACACTACTGCCATATTTAAGTATAAACCATTAACTACCTATTTAGAAGTTCTTAAGACTCCTTTTAAGAAAAGGTTTGCTTATTTAAGAATAGCCTGGCTTCTTTTTATCGATTTTTATCCTAATATTCAGGATTTGCTGTTCTGCATTACATCTTATTAGACTAACTACTATTAAAACAAAGATTCTTATTCCAATATATAATAACACCATACCAGTTGTTGCTATTTTCAAGGTGAAGTACTCATTAAACCACAGCACTTGGAACATCAACATAGGCCAGCAATACCTTCCATAAAAACTGGATTTTCTCCCTATTTTTAATTCAATTTGCTTATCAGCTATTTCCTTTAATTCATCTGAAAAATCCCTCAAAAACTAACTATAAGTTCAGGCTCTGGAATTTACTGAATACTCTTCTCTCTTTTGTATTTTGAATGTTTAAACCATTTCTAACATTGTGGAACTGTTTTTAAAAAGAGCTGTCTTTAAAACTACATTCCGAAGTGACTTTTAAATCAACAGTACTTTCAGGATGCAAACTAGAGTTGTTATGAAGTGGATCCAATCTTTGTATCAATATCAGTAATTTGGTATTCCATGCATGACATTTATGAGAGAAATAACTCTTTGCGTACCAGCTCTGAACATGCACTCATTTTGAGCAAATGAAAGGTACAAAGCAGGTCATTTATACAGCACATTAAAATCTTCTCCTTTAGTTCGCCTTATTAGCTTCTTGGTATATCAAATATTCATAGAAATACTTGGTATCTTTTTCTAAGGGCTCCACATCATCTCCAATACCATCAAAAACATACTCCTAGGTTCCAAAAGCATTTCATTTTTATTTCCAAAACACACAAAAATTGACGTATCTCAAAAATATTTATCGCAACAAATTTGCTTTTCTAATGCAGCACCTGAAAGAGTGACCTCATATTCTTTTGTTCAGCATATCATCACACCCACTTAATCATGCAACCCTTCTAAACAACGTAATTTCACCTCAGTATTACCATGGGCATGTGTCTCCATAAATTCTTAATTTCTTAAATTTTATCCCTAGTTCAGGATTAGTAAACTTGTGTCTATCAACCATGTACGTGTGGTAGTGATGATATAAACTTGTCAGCTAGAGGGAAGCTCCATGAAGTAATCTGTCATCACTCTTTTCCTGAAATAAACTATATCTTTCCAGGACTTTTGGAAAGCAGATAGTGACAGAAGTTATTGCAACAATAGGCTGAGTATCCTACATGACAGCAGCAGGTTCTTTTTGTGTTTTCACTTCCTCTGCACCCTCATCATGCCTGTATGAAATTCACCTTTCCATCCTCAAGTGTGAAATTCACCTATGGATTCACCTATCAGCTAATGTGTTGAACTAAAAGTAAAATACCTTGGTGACTCAAATCATGGTTTGGACTTAAAAAAAGTAAAGAAGAAACTATTCTAAAGATGCTTTTTAATTTAAGTTGCTTTTGTTCATAGTGGCCCTGTCTCTGTGTGCCCCAGACCATCAATAAAATCTGTGTTTCGTCATTTCTAGATTCATATGTCAAGTCTTTCCACAGGTCTTCACCTAGAAACAATTATGTTATTTGTCAATCTGCAGCCAAAAGAAAATTTGATCTATAATCACATATATACAAATGATCTTTATAACCTAATGTTTTGGCAAAACACTGACAAGCATGAATTTAGGACTATATCCCTGCCTTTATGAGTGCAACATTAAAACCATTTTAAAACAGGATAGCTAGAAGTACTTTACTTACTTTGCAAAGTGTTTTACTCTATCTAATATGCTTTCCATGCTAATAAATGATGACTCTGCCTGCAGTGATCTTACATAGCGATTCTAGCATTTTATTTTCAAAAAATGGAGGCAGTAATCTGCTGCAATTCTCATACCACCAAGGATCAGAATTTCCATTCAGATCTCATACTGCTGTTACACATGCCAGTCAATGTTGCAATGTTTTGGTGCCATGGTCATAACAATCCACTGAAGAATGTAAAAGTTTTTCCTTTTTTCCAGTCAGCTTTACTAACTGTTGTTATCCACATACATCCATTTGATCCCCTTGCATATAAAATCATATATATATATATATATATATAGTCAATGAAGTTCAAAAGGAAAAAAACTGTTGTTACGCTAAAGCAATATTTGCAATATTACTTTTTACCATTGTAAGGGGCCTCTTAGAGTTATGTTTCAATACTTATTCAAATGATTTTTACCAAAGGAAGCCAAAATTCACTCTGGGAAAAAATGGGGTTTGACAGGACCAGGAAGAAGACTGAAAATAGTTGCATGCCCTTGTATGTTGTATGAAAAAGAGACAAACTAATGTCATATAATAGCAATATTCATATTCTGTTGGTATATAAAAGCATAAACTGATAGGAATTGATACTCATAGCTCTTAATAAAGCCATAGAATTTGAAAGGAAAGGATATAAACTATAGCCATGTATAATCAATTATATATAAACCCAAAGGCCTAATTCAGCCTAAAAAAATCAGTTAAGATTACATTTCTTATTCCTTATTAAAATGTTCCTTATATATCTAACTTACTTCTTCTTTCACTGTTGACTGAGTTACGAAGCTGCAAAACTATATCTGCACCGGAGGCAAGGCAGCCCACTCTTCTGGCTGACAGAACATGTTTCCCAGGCAAAATGGTTTATTTTAAATAGAATCTGTGAGTACAAAAGATGCTGCAGTGCTAACTCTTTTTGCCTCCAGCTGAGGCAATCTGCTGCTATTACAGACACAGACACTGTTTGTTTCAACACCTATATGCCATGCCCTTCCTGTCACCTGAATACCAAACACTGTTTTGATGAGGGATGTAAAATACTGCAGAACCACTGACTGAATGTACTTTTACTATTTTTTACTTTTCTAATGCTGCAAAAATCAAGTTTCAAAGCAGAAAAGCAAAAAGGGTCCTGATGTTTTCATGCGCTTCTAAAAAATGTTTACCATTTATCCCTCTCGAATCAAAAAGCTTACATTTTTGCCTATAACTACAGGCTTGTCTGAATTCTGAACAAGAACAGGCAAGAATCTTCCACCAAAATCCTTTTCATGTCATATTTATTTCCCTTTGATTTTGTTTTAAATGAAGATTCTATCATTAATCATAAAAATCACAAAAGAAGATAATTTGCACATAGAAAAATAATTACATACCTTATACTGGATAAGGAGACCATAAACTAGAATGTTTTTCTTTTTAGTTTCCCTTGCAAATTTCTTGATCCTAGTTAGTTCTTCCATCCCAATGCTGGAAGAAGTATTTTCTGAAATATCCAAGTGCACCTGCAAAGGAATAAATAAAGGGGAAACAAATCCACTTTTTCCATAGTGAGCCATTCTGGACAGCCAGTATTTAGTAACTAATTTTTATGCATTATATACACATAAGAGTACAGACTATCAAAGGATTTTCTTAGTTAGCTTGTATTACTGTTGAATTCCACTACTTATACATCCAGTGACACAAAATTTATTCTTTTCAAAGCGCAATGAAACCAATACACCAGAACACATCAGAACACAACTGCATCTTAAAAATATTCAACTAAATAAGAAAACAACTTTCTTTTCTAAGCTCCATCTTTCCCAGTTATGTTGGGGGGGTTTTTACTATCAGGATACTATAGAAATACAGGTGTTTTTCTTAAGCATCTTGAAATCTTTCAAGGCAGAACTGCATTCTTTAAAGCTTTATTTTGCATTTACTATCCTTTCAGTTTAGTGTATTAGTTGCCTAAATTGGATTAATTTCAATATACACTTCAAGTTTAAAAAGCAGAAACTATTTCAAAAGAAGGTAGGGATATGACTACCCTGAGCTCTTGGGCAGGGAAAGGCAAGTCTCATAGACAGCAGGGATGCTGCACAAACATGGCAAGTTTTATAGGACCTGAACTGGTATCTCCAGAGAGGCATCAACTAGCTCCCAGGGTTTGTGTTCCACAGTTTAATCACTTTACTTTACAAAGCTTCTATTAACTGTAGAAATCAAAATTAAGGAGGTTGATTTGATGCTGAAACTTGTACTCCTTCCTTCCTTCCTTCCTGCCTTCCTTCCTCCCTCCCTCCCTCCCTCCCTCTATTATCAATAGCAGAAATACCTTTCCACTTAAAAGAACGAAACAAAACCCATTTTTCTGGCTGAATGATTCGATAGATATAAACCTTATCTGTAGCCGCTACAGAGAGGCAGAAACATACAAGTCACTTCAGACATCTGTGCTTGGGAAAATTATTTCAAATTCTCTTTGTACCTTACGTTCAATTTATCCTGACAGAAAATAGGTCTTCACTCATTTTCCCTTGTAACACTTTTTCAAAAAGCTGTTTATTGTGTAAGTGCAAACTCACCAGAAGCAAAGCTATTGCCTTCTACTACACAGGCAGCGGTTAATTTCACATGCTCCCTCTTTTGTTATTTTTAACCCAAAACAAGGATAAGTACTGCTCATTTACAGCTACTTACAAGAAATTATAAACCCTATTATTTTGAGAGAATTCAACTTAACTCCTATTTATCATTAACCTATTTCACAACTTTGAAAAGAGATTTTTCTCAAATTTACTTTTGTACTGAAATGCAAACAACTGCAACTACAGAGCTGAAACACTGGCATTCCTTTATTTCTAACCCTAGGTAATAGAAACAAAATAAAAATCACATCCATTCATGGCACCTACAAACATGAACAAGTATTGCTCAAAAAAGTAATGTCAGTTTAAGAAAATAATTCTGGTTATACCGGAGTTGAAGAGGATACTGGCTTGATGCAAACTAATAATGGCATGAAATTTACCTCTGTGCTTCCTACTTCTTCCATAACATTAATTTTCCCTTTTGTTCAGACACAGCAGTCCAATTGCTGCTTCATCTTACAGACACCACAGGACAATCCAGCCAGGCACCAGGATAAAGGACAGACTTTGAAATCTCTGGCTATTGATAGGTTGGAATATGGACAGAAGTCATAATCTTCAGTGCAAGCTCATCCTTCTACTGGGACAATGCTCCCCAGGCTGGTTAAACAGACAATCTGGCACTATAATAACACCTGTCATTTTCACAACTAAAGCAGATGACTATTGGAAGGAAAAATAAAACTTTTCCTCTTAATTATCAGATTGTTACGAAAAACTTACTTGTGCCATGAAATTAAAGAATAGACAAGAACTTTCCAATTACACAAAAGTCTACATTAGACTGTTCCTGATTATTGAGATGGAAGCAGTTAGCGGTCTCTCCTCATTTAATCTTTCAGTTCTTCGCTACCAGAAAGAGTTTTACTTTTGAGAGTAGAAAAGAATACCCTTTCCCTTACAGCTGGTACCTAAGACCTATGCATTTAAATGTCATCATTTTGCATAAAATTCTGAGTCACATTTGCCTGAGAAATATTAATATGCTCTCTTACGTCAAAGAAAGTGTCTTATAGGACATTTTATGAACAATGTGTTCAGGTATTACGTTAAAGTGCATAGAAAAGAATTAAACTGAGGAATATCCCATTCATGACCCTTAGTGAAGAGCACACCCAACACTGATGTCAATTAAAGACTGTCGAAGAAAATTTCTGTCCCCCGTACTATCTGGAATGAGTTTTAGGGATCAGAATTTTAAAGGACTTCAGTAGTTCCCAGTGATTAATATGAGACAATGATTTGTTTAGCTAATTCTTCAGTCATTAAAACATACCTTCCAGATCTCCTATTTTTTCCTTCTTGTATTTCTAAGATAATATGGTACTTCCATCAAATCCAAGTGTAGCACCAGATGACCTTTTGCAACTAGCATACTTTGCTTTTAAAGATACTTTTACCAAATATATGTGTATCTGTGTTTTAAATGCTAGCAACTGTTTCCACCTAGTTATGAGATTTTCTTCCATTGCCTAGTTCTGAGAAATTTCAGGAAGTTATTATGAGCAACTGATGGATCTGGAGTATAGTTAAGGAATTAAATGGATCATTTCCTCTCAAGGCTATTTTAAAAGGTGTGCTTTCTGCAGGCTGCTCAAGCAAGTACACTTTCATTAAAAATGGTGCTGGGTTCTACAATGACCTCAAGATCTAGTATCTCAGGGGTAAAAGCTGAGTTTTATGGTGAAATTATATAAGCATTATTTCAATTCATACCTATTTCTTAGGAGATATTAAGACCAGAATATTTATAGCTACAATTAAATCAAGTTTCTCACATTCCATGCACCACACTAAAAAAAAAAGTATTTAATTCAAAGTGCAGACTACAAAGTAGCTATGAATCAGGCATGATAAACATGCTTTTAACTATTTAGCATTACCTAGTTGATTAAGAATTCCAACTTTACCTGCACACCCCCAAAATTTAAACAGAGAAATGGATCTTTCTAATTTTGATAAGAACTAATGAAAGCATTCTCAACCCAGAAAAGAGCATTTTGCACATCTGGTAGCTTTGTAAATGGGCAACAGAATGGGAGGCATGTAATTGCTCTGATTATGAAAGGCAGAAATAATTTATCTTTGAAAATTCAGTAAAACTAAAGCTCTACCCTGAAGTTCCTCAGAAACAGGGTCAAGAAAAAAATATGGTCTAGAAATAAAGTGCTAAATATTGATGTTGATAGAATTACAGTAACTCACTCCAAGACAACAGCATACAATACATAAAGATATAATAGGTAAGCATATAATAAGTAAATAGCTTAGGCTCTACAGTAGGATCTGGACAGGCTGGATCAATGGGCTGAGGCCAAGGGTATGAGGTTCAACAAGGCAAAGTACCAGGTCCTAAACTTGGATCACAACAACTCCAGGCAGTGCTGCGGACTTCAGGCAGAGTGGCTGAAAGCTGCCTGGCAGAAGGGGGCCTGGGGATGCTGCTCAACAGTGGCTATATGTGAGCCAGCAATGTGCCTAAGTGGCCAAGAAGGCCAGTGGCATTCTGGCCTGTATCAACCCTCGTGTGGCCAGCAGGATCAAGGCAGGAATTGTCCCCCTGTATTCAGCACTGGTGAGGCTGCACCCCAAACCCTGTGCTCAGTATTGGGCCCCTCACTGCAAGAAAGACATCGAGGCGCTGGAGCATGTCCAGAGAAGGGCAATGGAGCTGGTGAAGGGTCTGGTACGAGTGGGGGTGCTTAGCCTGGAGGAGGCTCAGGAGGGACCTTATTGCTCCCTGCAACTACCTGAAAGGAGGTTGTAGCCAGGTGGGGGGATCAGTCTCTTCTCCCAGGCAGCTTACAGGGACAACAGGATGTAGTCTCAAGCTGTGCCAGGGGAGGTCCAGGCTGGACATGAGGAGGAATTTCTTCACAGAAAGGGTTGTTAAACATTGGAATGGGCTGCCCAAGGAGGTGGTGGAGTCACCAATCCTGGAGGTATTTAATGTCTATTAATGTAGATGTGGCACTTAGGGACTTGGTTTAGTGGTGAACTTCACAGTGCTGGGTTAGTAGTTGGACTTGATGATTTTAGAGGTCTTTTCCAAACTAAATAATTCTGTGATTCTATGCAACCTTTTTTCCTTTGCAAAAGTAATTGATCTTCATGACATCTCATTTCTTTGTTAGATCTGTAATGAAATTTCATCACTTAATTTCAGATTAAGCTAAAATTGAGAAGTAAATGCTCAGTTTTACCTCTAGGTCACTAGACTATGTACTTCAGCAAGTATCCAAGTCCCATGAAAAACAGCTATTCCTTTTTTCAAGAGCTTCATATATGAAATTATATTTTAAAATCACAATATATTATCTTGTCTTCTTGCTGAAGAGCATAATAAATGAAGCCTGGAGGCACACTCTTTGTGAGGTATGGCATTAATGACAATCATTCCACCCAATGCTTCTCATCCCTATTATTAAGCCAGAAAACATCCTGACAGAATTAATCGGAGCTGGTTACACTTCATGGAGACTTTCCAATCTACTCATAGTCTCTCCTTTTTAACAGTCTGAGTAAAATAAAAGTCATGTACACCTCCATGAACTGGTAAATTATTCTGGCATTCATTTCAAACAATGAGAATTTCAGCCAAAAGTAGATTTTCAAACTTTTGCTGCATACCAGAACAGATTTTTCAGTCTTATATTTCAATAAGTATGTATTATTTATATTGCAAAGTACTTCAGAGTTAATTTTTAATACTTGGACGAGAAAAGTAACAAAAATTTTAAAACTTTGAATAACCACACAGTGTAGAAAAAAAAGCACCACTTAATTCTGTTTCAACTGAGCATTCAAGCACAGCACATGCTTTGCAGCATCTCCAGCAGAGATGGAGCACAACAGCGAGGCAGGAGTTAACAGATCAATACGACTAGTCAGCCACAATGAGTCTTTCACAGAAATATACAACTAATAAATTATCAGTTATTATCAGTGTCAGTTTAGTTCCTGGCAGCATGCAGTACATTTGTTGAAGTGAAAATGAGGCTCTTTAGAGTCAAATTTACCATTTGAATTTACAACTTTATTCTGAGCTAGCAGCAGTTTAAACCTAGTCTAACATATAAAAACAATATTTCCCAAGATGCTTGCAAAAAAAAGGGTTTCCTACCTAGAGGTGTTACCTACCGATATAAGGACAACGGGATATAAGAGAGGAATATCTGACTTTTCCAACATATCCACTAGTTGCTGGGTTCCTTGAATGGCACACTTTTTATCCTACATGAAAATAGATGTTTAGAATTACTGAAAACATCAAAGAATTATTCATAAAAATGAAATTCAAAGATCTGTTATTTACCAAAATAAAAAGAGATATCAGTTTTTTGGTTTTGGCAGGTTTTGGTTAGTTAGTTGGTTGGTTTTAATATCTTTGTAATGGTATTGTCTAGTAAAGTTACAGCTGTTTGAAAAATTTAGACTAATAATATTACCCTTAAGAAATACATATATATATATATATGTAAAACAAGATTCAGGCTCTTAATTGGTCTCAGCTATGATTAATCTAAAACCTTCCAGTTCCCATACAAGGACCCAAATACAGATTGCATGGCATGGACATGTCCAGAATGGGAAAGCCTAATTCAGCCCATGTTACAGAACTCTTCTTGAGACAATTCACTTCAATATAACATCTATGCAAGGAACTTTTGAACTACTTTCAGTTTCATCCTTCTTGCTCAAGAAATCATGGCTAGTTTAACAACTTACTGACAGAAGTGTGGAACCAGGAGAGAATGAACAGAGCAGTATCACAAAGGTATAGTTTGGTGCACATCAGAAACACCAAACATCAGAACAGACACAGCATGAGGACAGAAATAATAAACAATTTATTATTCAAATATTTACCATTTACAATTATTTTTAAGTGCAAAACTGAAAGCATGCATCCTTACTACTTACATCTATGCAAACAAAATTGTAGCACTGCCCTGAAAGGATGTTTTGTAGATGGATATCATTTTTGCTTAGAGGCACTGATATAGCGTCAACCTGATTAGAAAAAAAAAAGTCACAAGTTTTACTTCAGTTCTAACCATCTACTAACATTTCCACCATTATGACAGTTTGTTCATTCAAATGACTTAAAACTGACAATTATTATTTCCACCACAGGAACTGGAAATTGCTCAGACTTCTAGGTGACTCCACAGTGAAGCAGAGAGTCCAACACTTGCTGTAGCATAATGCTATGGGAAGCCATTCCATAAACAGCCCTGGAAGCATCAGACATGAGCACCACTGCCTGGGTTAGGAAGTTCAGCTGCTCCCAGAGATGTAAACACTGTTCATAGGATCAAGACGATCTAATGATTTTAGATGTCTAATTCTGAGAAGACTGCTATAATATTCAAATACCTACATATTGTGTCTTCATGAAACTGAAAACAATATAAATTAAGTATGCATGAAAGACCAGGTGCACTGGTGTTCTAGGATCCTACATATGACAAGACTCACCAACAGTTTCTCCTGCACATAATTTCCTCAATGAATACTTTAAAATACTGTCTTAATCACAGACATACTTATTTTGCAACCTTTAACACAAGCCAAGAAACTATCTTAGCCTAGCTAAAATAAAAAGTAGTTTCTACTACATTATCAGCTTCAGGATTGCCTTAAGAAAAACAGCAAACCAGGTGGTAGAGGAGGAATTTGTTCCCTAAGAGAAGATAACACTTTGAAGCAAAAAAGTCTTCATGCTGCTTCTATTAAGCTAGTAAACCTCACTGTTCCACTGCTCAGTTGAGCTTTATTTCTGCCCAGAAGACATTATATATAACAGTGAAGCAATACACTGCTGTGCTCCCTCAAAATGTCACTTAATGCACAACCCAACAGAAGTATCAAACCCAACATTTAGAAAGGCTTTGCACTGTTATCTTTAGCTGTATTTGTTTATTTTTGCAATACTCAGGGAGCTACCTTGTTTGCAAAGGAAGGTGGTTTGAAACTCAAGAGTAGATACTCATGCACTAATGATTTTAGAAACAATTTGGGCTGAAAATTTGATAACACTGCCCCAAATAGTTGACATTTAATATTCTAAAAGTTTTAAAAAAACTTTTTAAAAAAATCACAGAAGGTAAGAATTACTTTAAAATACTTGAAAAAATGCAATACTCCAGGGTTCTCCTGGCTTGAACCTCAGCAGAAGTAAAATCAGAAATTGCCAGGACCTTCACAACTTTGCACATGCTTCAACAAACAGGAGCATATTGCATACCAGAGTCTTTTCAGAAGGTATATGGAACATGACTCAAGACAGAAGACCTACTTCTACTTTTTCCTTTGAGATATTACAATAGATGATGCTTAAGTATTTTTGAACATTTAAAAATTCATTTAGTGTATCAGAATTTGGATTTAACTTGAACAATTTGTTAAAGTAGCACAGTGAACATTTTTTTACAGCCACATTAGTCAGCAAAAATTAAATTACATGTTGCTGTTGAAAAAGTAAGCAGCACATCTTCCCAACTAGAAGCTTCAATGAATCATGAATTAATGAAAATTAATTCTTATTTTATTTGGCATGTTAGTATCCTATGCAAAAATACTTTTTTTAAAAAATAAAATTAATACTAATCCACATTATCAGCTACTTGAGAGAGCAAAAATTACCTAAAAATACCACCTCAATAAAAATGAGTGTCACATAATATTTCAGTATTTAAATACAAAAGAGTATACGGACAAAGAAGAAGAGATGGCAAATTTTTACAAAGACTTGAATAACAAATACGTTTAATTTAATGCTTTTCTACTTATCAGATGTCCCGTGCTGAAGTTTCAACTTTATTCAACACCCACTTTCATCAAATCAAAAATTAATACCAGGGCATTGGAAACCTGCAAAGGATATTTAAATTGTACCAGAAAGCAATATCACAATTAGTACCACTCCAGCAGATGGGCAATGCTATTAAGAAATTAGTGAATTTCTACTAGTGAAACACTAGTTCGTTTCCTATTTGAAAACAACCAAATATTTTTATCCCGTTACAAAACTAACACAAAAATAACTCATGCAGTCAATCGCATTTCATGTGACAGCAGCACCTTGTCACTGAATAAGCAGGAGCACATAATTTCCAGTCACAGAAGAAAACATCTTCAGCCCCCATTTTGGTTTGCTTTCATAAAAGAAAGGCCTAAATAACAAACTTAAGGAAAGATTCAACTTATGTCTTTCAAGGTAACATATCTTAAGCAAAAACATACATTCATTCAATAGTTACACTGTTTAGAGTAACACTGACTAAAATACTTCTAAAATACTTCAAAAGAAATAACTGTTACCTTAAAAAAATTTATTAGAGAAGCATTTATTTTCATTTTCTTTATCTTAGTATTTTGATTTTTGGGTCTTTTCCCCCCTGCTATTGGCATTATCATGTTATTAGAGTCTCTCTCAGAAATCCCCCCCAACAAAATATCTTTTGAATTATTCTTTAAGGATACATGTAGAAGTTAATATGCCAGAAGTAAATACAGCTGCTACTAAGAACTAGAGGGTCAAATCTATCTAAAATGTTTAAATACTGTCAGTTTAAATTTCAGATAATATGTACTTTACTGAATGATCCCCAACTGTTCTCTTATTTAGATCAATTACCTTCCAATTAATCCATGGAAAAGGTTCAGCTTTCAGTGTGGTACGTTTAACGTGCTTACAATAATTATTACATTGCACAAAACCAAATCTCCCTCTCCAACAAGATTACTGTGCTTCATTTGAGAAATCATAGGCCAGTGGCTATCAGAGAATCACAGAATGGTTTGGATAGGAAGGGACCTTAAAGACCATCTAGTTCCAAGTCCCCTGCCATGGACAGGGACATCTTCCATTAGACCAGTTGCTCAGAGTTCCATCTAAGCCTTGCACATTTCCAGCGACTGGTCATCCACAACTTATCTGGGCAACCTGTTCCGGTGGCTCACCACTCTCAGAGTAAAGAATTTCTTCTTTATATCTAACCTAAATTTCCCCTCTTTTAGCTTCAACTCACTATTTCTTGTCCTAGCACTACAGTTAGGACCATAAGCTGAGACATAGGAGATTCCGATTGGATATTAGGAAACGTTTTTTCACTGTTAGGGTGGTCAGGCATTAGAGTAGGTTGCCCAGGGAGGTGGTGAAGTTACCATCCCTAGAAGTGTTTGAGAGGCATCTGGAACAGGCAGTGGAAGCTATGTTGTAGGGCCTAAGAGTTACACAGAGTGACAGATTAATGATTGGACTTGATGATCTTGGAGGTCTCTTCTGACCTTGATGATTCTATAAAACAATTCCTGATTAAGAGTCCCTCTCCAGTTTCTCTGTAGGCTCTTTAAGATACTGGAAGGTTGCTATGAGGTCTCCACACAATCTTCTCTTCTCTAGGCTGAACTCACCACCTTTCGCAACCCGTCTTTGTAGGGGAAGTGCTCTAGTCCTCTTATCAATTTTGTGGCCTCTTCTGGACTTGCTCCAACAGCTCCATGTCCTTCATATGTTGGGGACACCAGAGCTGTGCCCCCAATGCATATATTCTTTCTAAGGTCAGAAGTTCTGTATATATTGGTAAGCTTATGAATTAACTCTTAGAGATTTCATTATTTAAAAACAAGACAACACATTAATATTTGGGTTTATAGATTTTTAATCTAAAAATTCATCAAATGTGTAACTAAGGATGTTTCAAGGAATGAGACAGGGATCTTGATGGAGTTCTTTGGCAGGTGTTACTTTGCGGGAATGTAAGTGTTGAAGAGAAATGTAATAATCAACCACACTATGAGGAAAGACAGCATGGATCATAAGAGATAACAGTACTAGAGATCATCAGCTAAAATAACTGATTCAATAGAACCATCAAAAAAAATTCAGTCCCATATCAGTAGGAATCCCTTCAATTTTATGTCCTCATTACCTTGTTTGTATGAATGTGTTTTATTTATATATGTGTTTTATTCAAATGCATCATAGGCTCAAGTGCCTGAAAACCCCACCCATTGACTGGTTTTGCAATGAAAATTCAGCAACATGTTGTAAATTTTAACTGTTTTTTGTGCCAGTCTGATTTGAGGTTGCTAAGTTCAAAGTCACAGTGTCAATTATCAAACATAATGTATTCACTGACTTTTCTGACTGGCTTGTAAGTGTTACTCATGGCATGATCAAAGTGCTTCTATGAAAATATAATACATAGACATAGATAACTCAGCACTTACAGAAGTATATGGATAGGTGTTGTCTTCCTACTAATTGTGTAACAGTTTACATGGAGATAGAAAAAGAAATAGCAATGTATCTGGTGTCAGTGAAATGGAAACATATTTCTGCCCCATTACACAGCTATTCAGACAAGAAACGATTTTATTCAACTCTGGTAACATTTTTCACTTTTAAATGTAGACATTTAATAGATATAAAGCATGATTTCATACTAAATACAACTCTTTCCAAGCAAAACCTCTAAGTGCAATGTCAAATGACATTTCTCGATATAAACCAGCAAGAACTAAGCACACAATGCAGAACATCAGCAGCCATGAATAAAACCATTACAGAAGTAACACTATACAAATCAGGAAACCTGGATTTTTGAATACCTATTCCCTATCTGTTTCTCTGGATAATAGAAAGATGTGTTATCATCACATAATACATAATTAAGAATCACTCCAAGACCAGCCAAAATGTAAGCAATTACCAAATGTTAAGCACCTTTGGGAAAATGAAAATATGATAGTTATATTAGTAGGGATAATGAAAAAGGAAAAGACATTTAAATGCCAGTAGAAAATTCCATCAACATCCTAAAGCAAAGGTTTTAATGAGCATTCACTGTGAGTGAAATGTACCCCTATTTCTCTACAAAAAGGCTGATTAATTTGATTTTGCATTTGCAGCTCTGCAGGAATACAGCTGACTCTCTTAATTGGTTCAGACTTCAAAGTAATGAGAGCATTTCCTCTGTAACATATTTGTTAACAATTTGGGCTTACTGAATTAATAAAATCTAAAGAAAATGGCCTCTTTGTTGTCTGGATTCAATTTCTCCTCTAATCTAATATATACATTTTAAGTGGATCTGAAAGATCCCCCTCTACAGCATAACAGAGCAGAAGATGCTTCTTTCTCAGTAACTTCCACACCTGGTGTTAATCCCTAGTAAAAAATACTACAGTGACACAGGAAGTCTCAAGTTTCTCTATTCACATTTCTTAGACCATTTCTTATGAGTGGTGACCACCAGAAACATTAAATTAATCATACAGTTGACAGCCATAAAGTTCTACTTACTTTTATTTGTTTTTTCAGAGATTCAGGAAGGAGGAAACCTACTTGTGCAACAGCTTCCTTTGCATCAGAAATAACACAAACTTGTTGTGATAGGTTGTCTGTGATCAAGAAAAAAACCCTTAGTATTTCATGCAAAGAAAAATCACTCATAAGTATTAATCTCCTAAACGTTATCTTCAAACCATATACTGCTGACTCCTGACAGAACCTTTTTAACAGCTGTAAATTTAATTTTAAGACTACCTATTTCAAGGGACAGTTAATATAACTATGTGATTTATAATAACATACATCTCAAATATAAAATTCAAATTATATTTTATACAATTTTTGCACAATGTGAAAATATGCCTGCCCCCAAAGCCCATTTAAATAAGGGACTTCTATGAAAAGGTATTTTTTTCGGGTTCATATTAATGATATCAGATGTCATGCATGAAAAGTTTCTGAAAATTCACACCACTTCTCACTTGAACAGATTACTGAATGCACTTCCAGCAATAATAAGAAAAGAAAAAATAGTTACAAAAACAGGAACTAGCATAAATCCTCTTCCCAAAAATAGATACTACAAAATTGCCCCCAAAAATATTGTTTAGGGAAACTGGATGTAACTGTTCACCTCAATATCAAAGGAGTTGCAGTGACAGAGATCTTGCTTGGCATGGGCACATTCCTAGATCTTTTACTGGTTGGGGAAAAATATAATATTTTGCTGATATCAAGAACAGTAATTACAAGTTACTGCCAGATCTGTTCAGAAAATTAGTATTTTCTCTTGTTATTGACTACAGTTTTTAGATTCAGTGAGCATTTTCCTTTCTTTATGCAAACAAATCAAAATAATTCAAGTCTGAAACTCTCAGTTCTAATTCAGGACTTTATCCTTTAGATGCTGAATTAATATGCAGAACAAAACATAAGGTTTCTAATGGGTTTGGGTAGCTGTTCCACAAACAACTGGAAATTTCATAAATGTAAAGTCTAATTATGTTTAAAGCAAACTTCAATTAAATTTCAGGGATGGAAATATACCAAACAGCACTGCAAAATAAATGAGTAGTAAAAGACACAAGAGAAATAATAAAAATATGGCCTAACTGCTCTTCAAACAAGTCTGAATATAAGGACACATTTATTGCACGTGCAAAGTTTTTTTTGGAACTACATACCACACAATAACTCAACTGAATGCATTACTTAAGTGAACATCTCACTTTCTATTGTAAACTCAAAGGCTTCTTTACAAAAATAGGCATAAAGACCTGAAAATTAATTTAAAAGCTGCTGTAGAGTTAGCATTATTGGAAAGTGATTTGTGATTTTTAAGCAATTTTCTGTGAGCAGGAAAAGCAAATTAACCACTGAGAACACTAAAAGATAATCAGAATGATTTTTTTGAATCATGGGTATTTAATACGTCCAATATTTATGATGTGACAACAAAAATAGTGGTAGCAACTGGCTTTGTATTCAGTTAGCAAGAATGGGGAGGGAGGAAGAAAGAGAGAGAACAATAAACATCTGCTTATGAAACATCACAACCAGATGAAAGTGAGAATTGAAAAAATGCATGGCCAGTTCTCACAGGACTGGAAATCACAGGATACCACAACTGTGGGAGAAATTATCTTCCCATAGATTCACTGGGCAGAAAATACACTGAACATGCATCACAGTTGGCTTCTACTTTATACAGAATAAGTTTACTGTCTGAAAAATGGGTCAATGGGAAACCATATTGAATTAATTTCTTATCAGCAGAAAGAAACCAGTGGGTAGATTGAAATCAGAGCAAGAGCCACTTGAATTTAGTACTGTACATGGAATGCAGATACAAGATAGATATACATAATAAACCAGACTGGCATATCAAATTTCAAGAACTCAGATTCTATTGAACTAAGTAATTTAATGAAGAAGGTCGGATTGGAGCTATTAAAAAAATCCACATGTGGAAGAAGGCTGTGGAATCCAAAAAGGCACCATAACCAAGGCTCAGACAGTTCTTTTTTAAAAGAAGTCTGTTATCAAGTGTCAAAAATAAACTCATAAGAGGCTGCTCAAAGACTGCAGCTATAAAAACCCATTTTACTCCACTCTCCAGCCCTCTTAAATCTCTAACCTCCTGTAATGTAAATGAGAAAGGAGAGGCAACTACCAAAAAAATGACTAAGATTTGCAGGTTGAATTTAAAAAAGAGAAAATTCAATGAAGTGTGGAAAAATGCATTTTTAATCTGGAGAAGGAATGTAATATTATAAGGGGAAAGCCTATTAATAAAGCATGAGAACATTAAAGTAATGATAATACACATTGAAAAGATGCTGCATGCTTTTAAATGATCAAGGAAATGAATAAAGGAAGTCTAAGAAATCACCACGTATAAAAGCATCATAAAAAAGCAACAGTTCTGTTCCAGTTGAGGTCTGAAACTCAACTTCCATTTAAATTCAAACTGTTTCAAGTGGTCAAAAAATACCTCTGTGTCAATTTAGATGATCTGGACCTTTGCTGCATTGTGGGGAGGAAGACTGAGTGGAGCCTTCCTCCCCAAGACTGCCTGTGTCTCACCTCTGCTAACCTGATGGAGCTCTGCCCCTCAGTGTAATCACACTGAACATAGTGAGCAGAGCTGGACTGCTGACTTGTAACTCCATGAGTTCTGCTGCCTGACAGTAAAGCTAACTGTGTGCAGTGTTTCATTCCTGGGTTTCAGAATTCTGCGTGGATGAATCAGAGAGTCATGCTGGAAAGCCATATCATTGCCATGTCACAAAGAATTTTTATGCTCAGCTAAACCCATTTTGTTTTCCATTGGACTGCTGGATAATTGAGGTTGGAAAGGACCTCAGGAGGTCTCTAGTCCAAACTCCTGCTCAAAGCAGGATCACCCATGAGGTCAGGTCTGATCACTCAGCCCCTTATCCCTCCAAGTACTTGAAAACCTTTTGAGGACAGAGACTGCACAATCTCTCCAAGCAACCTGCTTCATTGCCCTCATGGTGAAATAGTTCTTTTTATTAAGTTGGAACTTCCCTTGGTTCAGGTTTTGCCTGTTACCTCTTGTCCTCCCACAATGCACTGATGTTCTACTTTACTTCCCTACTTTCTGCTATAACTTCCTTTTCACCTGCACAAACTTTTTTTTCTCTTTACTCACTATTACATTACATATCAAACTCCCTAGCTTGCTTTGCCTTCCTTTGCCTCTACTTACTGGAAACCTCTTCTCCACAATGTGCATCTCCCATTTATTCTCAGCCTCTTTCCAGCTGTACCTGATTATGCAGTAATGTTCTCCATTCACATGCATCACATTTGATCCCATGCACCACTTTTAACATCTACCCAGAACATATTTTTTGCATGAAACAAAACATAGTTAAAACTTTACACTGCCAAATTCTGTTAGGTTTAACATTAAATTTCTCTATCAGGAATTTTCTTCCTTCAAGCTATATTTGATACAGGATTCCAGAATTTATTCTATTAAACCTCTTTTTTTCTCCATCATTTTTGCATGTCCTCCTTTGATATTCTGAAAGCTTTAGATCACTTTATTATTCAGCAACACCTGCCACAGTCTTTATCCCAGGATCTTATCCAATTATAAATTAAAATGTGAGCATGTTTATGGAACTGCCTCAGTTAGATAATGAATTAAGTGTACTCTAACGAAGGACTTGAAAGTTTACCCTGAAAATCATGCCACAAACAAGCAGCAATTAAAACAATGCTTTGTTTGAATAAAGATCATAAATATCATATCCTGGGGAATTAATACCAAAAGAAAAAAAGATGCATCTGAATGGCAAAGGGGTTTTAGCCTACAGACATACATTTTTTTTCTTAATTGCATGTATATGTGCATACATACACTTGTTTTTGCAAACATATGCTCACACCACACCCATTCTTGGTCTGTCATTACAATTCCTACTATTTTGGAAGCATATCCTATTCATCAAAATACTTTTGAAGTTTGCAGTGAATTTAAAATAGTAAATTAATTTATCAGAATTCCATTTTTACTTTATACATAGCAATGGCTTGACTGGTATGGAAATTCGGTAGGGTTCTCCCTGGCATTTTTAGCATCTCATAGCAAAGCTGTTTCTACCACTATAAACACTAGAAAACTGAAATAAGTACTGCCAAGCACTTAGTTCATTGATGCTCAACAGAATGAGGTGAAGTCATTTGAATAATATAGGTAACCAAAAGTATCAAACAATATCGAATTTTTTTGTTTACCCATTCCACACTTCTCTGTAGCCACAAAAACTAAAAGCCAAACTTGACACTCCCCCAACCAGTATTAGTATACAAGAAAGAAATGAATATTTTGTGGTAGAAGGCAAAGGAAGAGGGTTGCTTTCACCTGACAGGAACTATCCTGAGGAGTACCTCCCCACCTGCCAGTCTGTTTCTTTGCCTGACAGCAGAGAACAGCCACAGGTTCATGCCCATGAAAATGCAGCCTACCTCACATAAGATCTCTGTCCTTTGATAACCAAGGCTTATCTCAATTTTTATGTTTTATAAAAAGTCACATGATTTCTTCACAGGACACAAGTCATGTAGCTCCCAAAAGTCACAAACAGTTTGAAGGCGTTACAGTATTTTTCTCAGCACTTGCAAAAACATAATTGTATCTACAGCAGTAGACACTTATTTAGCCAAATGTGAGGCCAAAATACCCAATCTGCAAGTGCACACTCTCATGAAAAAGAAGGGTACTAAGGAAAGGAAAAGGAGGAGGAGGAGGGAGAGTCAAACTGTAAGTTACAAACTTCTACTGAGACGCAGCATTTAAAGTTTACATGCTGGAACTAGAGTTCAAAGACACCTACCCTGAGGGCAGTAGTCCTAATGGAATTTTTTTAGGATGTTTTGTATTAGCCTGATCTTAACTACATTTCTAGATGAGTCACCCTTATTGTAAGACAATGTTTTCTTACTTCAAGACTATTTAAAATAGGCGTGTGCCACCTTGTCTACATACTCTACAAGTTTATACCTGCTTAACTAAAGAAAAGCATTAGATTTGCTGTTTATAAAACAAATTGTGTTAGATTCAGATTTCATAATCTAGTCATAAAAGACACTTGAGGAAGTTAGCAAATTAATAAGAAATGTTTTAAGAAAACAGTCTCAAAAGAAAAATAACTCAGTCTATTTACAGTAATAAAATGTTTCTTTGCATTGCCTTGAAAAAGAATGATATATATAAATATCAAAAGTACAAAAATGTATGTAGGCATGTGTGTTTTTCTCACTTCCACCTGAGTCAAGCTGAATTTTGTTGAAGGAAACCAAAGGTTCCCATCACTAATAAATATAAACTGTAGGTGACATGAAATTTGGAACTGTAGTCACAAAATTAAATGTGTATACTCAGAAGTTCTTCATCACTACTGAATTCATCCAGTGATAAAATCTGCCTCCAGCAAAGTAAATTGGATAACTCAATAATAAAGAAATCAGCTGTGAAGACTGGAACAGTAGTGGAGAGCCAGTGTGAGGCTAGAGCCCTATGTACCATAAACCCTTCTACCCCATATGTTTAGCTTCTTGGCTATCTCCAGAGGACCTTGGCAGCATGCAAGGTGGAATTCCAGGAGCTGGTACCTTGCAACCCAGCCTCAGAGTGTCATGCAGGACTTCCCCTTCAGGCACTCTACATGGCACAAAAGGGGAGTGAGAAGTAGGAGCACCTCATTTACAAGAGCATGTAGTGACAGGACTAGGGAGAATGGCTGCAAACTGAAAGAGAGTGGGTTTAGACTAGCTATTAGGAAGAAATTCTTTCTGCGAGGGTGCTGAGGCACTGGAACAGGTTGCCCAGAGGAGGTGTGGATGCTCCATCCTTGGAAGTGTTCAAGACCAGGCTGAATGGAGCTTGGAGCAACCTGGTCTAGTGAAGGGTGTCCCTGCCCATGCCAGGGGCTTGGAACTAGATGATCTTTATGATCCCTTCTAATGCAGTGTCCCTGCCCAGGGGCTTGGAACTAGATGATCTTTATGATCCCTTCTAATGCAGGCCATTCAATGATTCTGTGTTTCCATGATACAGCACCACATAGTGGGTTCTGAATTCTCAAGAAAAGCAGACACTGTGATACAGGCAATTAGTCAGCTTGTAGGAAAGGCCTAACTGAGCATGCCTTGGCTTGTAGAATGGTTGCCATTCTCTAAGGTGACCTATCATTGAAGGTTTCCCATAGGCACAGCACAATGCAGGCCATTCAATGATTCTGTGTTTCCATGATACAGCACCACATAGTGGGTTCTGAATTCTCAAGAAAAGCAGACACTGTGATACAGGCAATTAGTCAGCTTGTAGGAAAGGCCTAACTGAGCATGCCTTGGCTTGTAGAATGGTTGCCATTCTCTAAGGTGACCTATCATTGAAGGTTTCCCATAGGCACAGCACATGGCTATTAAGATTTCTTCTGTAAAACTAAGAACCGTAAGACTAAATGACGCCACACCAGGGTACAACATCAGGATGATGTTCAAAAGGACAAAAATATATTCTCCCCTTGAATATGCTTTAGGTGTGTCATGAACTGTGAATAAAGCACCTGCCTAATATTAATTTACATGGCTCAACTGTCCATTACCAAAACAAGTCATGTTACAGCCACCTGAAGATCTACTATTTGACAGCTTTTGAAGTGCACAGAATGGATAAGGCACAGCTCTCAAAGAGCAGTCTCGGAGTACCAACAGGGCCAATTCAAAACCCCATTAAAGATAATTAATTATGTAAGATAACCCTGTTATGCAGTGTCCTAATTTGCTATGAAGGACTAAGTACACTGCTTGCATAAGGAGCAAAGGACACATAAGGCTTCTCCTTCTGAACTAATGCAATGCAGCAAGAAGTAAATCTAAACTTAAGTACAATTTTTCATAGAGACCAGGCATAATATGGCTAGTGTGGTTACTGAAGCAGATACATTGCATGCTGCCACAGAACATTAGATAAGTAAAGACCAAATAAGGGACTAGCCTAATTGACCACCATGAAGTGTCTTCATTTTTACTTTAAACACAAACTTCCTATTATAACCAACAGCTGGAAAAGATTGTATTGCTTTAGGGAAAAAAAATAAATGTGATAACATGATGAAATATGCATATAAAATATGTACCTATGAAGAGAATGTCTGGCCATTTACAGCATTTTTTTTCTCCAGCTATAAATAAATAGCTAAATAGGTAGCTAAACAGTGAATGTTCCTTTCATTTGAACACATTGCATTCTCATTTTCTACTCAACCAGTTTTAGAAAAGCTGCTTGGAATATATCTTAATTTTTAAACAAATTATAACTCATCTTCTTTAACAACCTATGAGATTATTGAAGCCTTTGTATACACAGGAACATAGAAATTCATTTGCATGAAGGTTATAGTTTTGTTTTAAGTTTATCTTTTTTGAACACCTCTGAGGAATAGTCTGGCTCCATCTTCTTCACTCTGACCCATCTAGATAAAGGCTAAATCTAGCCCTTATGTTAAACTGCTATGAAACCACTGTTACAAGTACAGAAAAAGGTTAAAAAACTGTTCAACAAAGTACTTACAAACTAAAACAATACCTCAATATCATATCATATTGCTATAGCAATTTAGGTAACAACTTTCTGTATATAACAGTGAAGAGCCTTAAAGAGTTAATGCTTAATTTTCAGTCTCCTACTTAGATGAGAAATATGGAGCATATTCAGAACTGAACTGCAAATGAAAGAAAAAAATAAGTTGTTTATTCCTTATAAAAACATTCAATATTCATCTCTGTTTGACTGTAATATACACAGCTTTTTGTAAGGTTCTCTATTCTAAGAGAAGCAAATAAAAGTAAATATGCATAATACAAATATTCCAGTGAACAAGCTAAACCAACTTGCCTAAGCACATTTTATCCATCATAAAACTTTTCTTAAAGACATTTTGAACTATAGCACATAGGATTCTTAATTAGACTCAGGAATATGCAAACCAGCAGTCACAAGGACAAACACATACCCTTAATAATGGATTCAGCTGCATACAGATCCCGCTTGTAGGTCACCTAAAGGACAGACAAGCCTCATTAGATTTAACACAGCAGGAAGGTATGTAAAACCAATAAAACAATGCCCTGAAGGCAATTCTTTACATTCTAAATACCATAAACAAATGATATTGTCAATTTCTTAATTTTGGAAAATATCACTGGAAAGTTCTGAGAACAGAGGTTGCAGAAATTACTGGATACTTGAGATAAACTTTTTTAATACTTAGATCTGCTCAGAACTCATTTGAAACCTAAGAGTATTTTCAACCCTTTGAAGAGTCACAAAAAAACATGACATTGCACCTATTTTCACACATCCATTTTAGTCTATAATTTCATTATGAAATAGATTCATTTTTAGTAGGAGTTGGGATCACAAACATGACAGCTGGGAGAAACCTCTTTATTACTTTTACTAACATAAGTGCAATTAACAGTAATAGTCCTGAACTACTGAAAATGAGAGTCCAATTAATCAGTGGGAATCAGTGAGACTACAAGTAGACTTTGTGTGAGCTTTCAGAGAATTAAAACCCATCCAGATCTTCTTGAAGACATTAAACATCTCATGTTAGATGACAATAAGATGCTGAGTATTTACTTGGTACTGGCAGAAAGCACCTTTCGTATCTGCCTCTGTACCCTCACAGTGGCTGATAGTCCCAGCAATAAACTTTGCAAATAACAGAAAATTGAAGAGAGCACCTACACAAGACATTAAAGTCTTTGCTAGCAATGTCTTCGCAATGACATGCAGTGACTTGAGCTGATATAACTCTTAAATATTTTATTTGTTTTTACTGTCATTTCCTTTTATGCTAAATAAAATTTTATTGGATTTTCTGCATTGTTTCTCTACAGTCTGAACATTTCTTTTCTTTCTTTTTGAAAATCACAGTCCAAAAGCTCTAGTGCTGCAAAGTAAATCTTACAGGAGGAGGACACCATTGTAGATTTTAGCACTCTAGTCTCCATGTAAATGATTATTTGATTTTTACATAAGGATTCCTGTAACCACTTTCCTTTCAATCTCATAAATTAGGCTCTGCATTGTAGTCAAAACTAAATTAATAATACCACCTTTCTCATGATTTCCCCAAGGAATGGTATTATTTTGAAATTAAAAATGAACTTACCTCCCTACAGTTTTTCCTGCAGGAGGAGCAACCAGAGAATTAATCTAGTCTGAGAAAACTTAGGTGTCTGAGTTCACACAAATACATTTATATATTTACTGTTGGGAAGAATCAGTGTCTTGAATTTAAATTTAAGGACAAAGAAGTGACCAATTGAGTGACCAATTTTGTTGCAGTTTCTTTCTATTTACCTGTTTCTAAAAGGCTTTTATACCAAACTTCCAAGAAACTGTAAACAGACTACTATCTAAAAACCTTTCAAGAAGCAAGACCATCTAAGCTCCGTTAGAAGTGGACTCACATTCTTTAAGGTTCATAATTCTTTTGAGGTGCCAAAGCATTTTTAAATAGTCTGATTTTTTAAAAGAAGAAGATAAGGAAAGTCAAGGAAACAGCACAGAAGAATAAAAAATTAAGAATGAAAAAAGCTTTTAAAATTCTGAGCCAGACATCAGAAAATATTCCTTTTCCTAGAAAAAAATAAATCATCAGAGACCACATCATGCTCTCCATATATATTTCTTTCATAATCTTTGATCCTATCAGCTAATTTCAGATACAGGCCCCTATAAGCTGTGTGAAAATAGTAAAGTTGACAGAAAAACCCTTCCAGATAACACATGTGACTACCACTTACCAGTTGGGGTGGGAGGGATTCTCTACACCTCTTTAAATATTGACTAAGATGCTAAATGCAACCAAAGTTTCTCTTAACATCTGGATATTCACAACGCCTCTGGATTTTCCTGTGTTGATCAAAAGGTGTTCTGGCAATTTAGATGAGACTTACTCAAAGGCAGGCAACCACAACTGATACAACCTTTGGTTTAATTCTAACCACTGATTGTTTTAGTATGAATTTGCTCTAAACAACTCAGGAGGCTAGTTCACACAACAGTTTATTGTTCTGAGCAGCTGTACTGCTTTACCTTTAGTTTCACTGAAGTGGATTTGGAAGCAATTCAGAGCTAGCCAAATTGACTAGGAAGAACACTAACTGACACTCTATACCAGAAAGTAAGGCAGCATTCACCACTCTTGCAGTCCAGGTGAGGGGCAAAAATCACAATAGAAAAAAAATTAAGCAAGAAAAATGACACACAGGAGTTCTCTCTCTCTTTGCAGAATACAGCTTTTCTACCTCACCACTTCTGGTTTTCTTATATTGCATTACTAATCTAAGTCTCTACAGAATTCTAAGAAGCAGTGTGCTTTTTCATGCTTTTCTCTGAACATTCCCTATCTATCAGCAGTTGCACAGAGCTGGAGTCTGCATTTGACCAAGGTACTCTAGATGCTCTTGTAATACTGTCATGGTTTAGAAGTGGTATTCCCTGATTCAGTGTTTCCACTGAAACCCCCCAGAACACATGCTGCTCATTCACACTCCCAAGCCCTTCTCCTGTGGTGAGATGGAGGGAATTGGAGGCACAAAAGGTAAAGATCACAGGTTGAAGTAAGAACAATTTACTAAGAAACAGCAATTAAGTAAGAGAATGAACAGTAACAAATATATTAATAACAGAGCATGCAAGACAGGCCAACAAATTCCATACAATCGCACACCACACAGACCCCTGTGCTGCCCCAACACACACACTACACCCCGACCCAACCAGCACTGTTGGGAACAAGGGGTACCCTCTGTCCCCTCTGCACGACGTGAGGTGCTATACAATGACCCAGGGTCCTAGTGTGCCCTTCCTGGCTGCTGCAAAAGGTAACCCTGTCCTGGACAGAATCAGGACAAATACTAGAACATCTCTTTTCTGATTTCATATTCTTGTTTCTATATCCATGGCTGACATAAGGTGTTTTGCCCACACACAGTGGAGACTTTCTATCCCCTGTGATTCCTATACCACTTTCAGTCCCTGCCTTCCTGGAACAATTCTCTAAATATGACCTACATTTAATTTTTTTTTCAAATAACATTTCTGTATATTTGGCTGCAATGAAAAGCATTCCTTTTGTTTAAACTGTTTGCTAAGCAATGCTTACCAATAGGTTACTGCTGATCAATTATACTTTTATTTACAAATCCTTAAATCTTTGCCTGCAAACTTTATCAGATAAATGCTAAATACCTTAGAGACAGTAACAGTTTCTGCAGAACTGTACATGGCATGAAAAATCTATTGAAATGTATCAGTTATCTAATTTTTCATCTGTTTAATGAGAACTAATACAATTACAGTCATCCTATTTTTAATTAAGATGCCATGTAGTAACAAGTCAAACTTCTGCCAACTGCATGTTGTATCAGCACTACCATCTTTATCAGCCAAGACTATAATAAAGGCTTGAAGTCAATTTCACAAAATATGTAAATTCCATGTTGGCTGACATTAATTACATTAGTCCCTTAACCCTTATTAATCAAGTTTTGCCTGTAGCAGTGCACCCTTTTGCTTTATTGATCAATATCATACTCAGAGGCTTCTAATTACTCAGATTCTCACTCTTCATGTGACAATATTAATTTTCATTTTGTCCTCTGGAAGATCCAATGTTCCAAGATTTTCAGAATGTTATTGCTGCAATTCAGAATGTTGCTAGGCCAAATACTGAAACTCAACACATGTCACAGAACACGAAAATATGACCTGCTTGTTTAGCAAAGGAAAAATAGTGTTACTTATTAAACATGTCTCTACTTCTCTGCATAATAAACAATGTACTATACCTATTTAGCAAAGCATCAAAATCATCAGACAAGAGTTTGTTTTACTATGTGCCCTTCTCTCTCAATTGCCAGACTGCAACTCTTCACTACCTAGGAAGATCCTCTCTTAAAAGTTGCCTGAAGTTTTCTCATTTAATGTTTAAAAGTCTTCCTCAAACTGATTTAGCTTGATGAACACTTCAGATTTAAAAAACTGTACATTAAATGCAAAATTATAGATCTTTACCAAGCAAATACAAAAAAACTACGATCACACATACACAAAATGTACTGCATTTTAGTTTAATGAAGTAGTTTCCTCTGTTATACTAAGATATCGTACAGATCTCCTTTGTATGGGATATTTTTGTAGGATTAGAAATTAATGTTGTTTTTTAGATATGGTGAGGATTTTTCACTTTGTCAGCATTATCTATAAATGCATATCAATCTTTTAGAAATGTTCTTACATAGAATTTTTCATCTACATTACACACATACACACACATATATAGATATCAGAGTCCAGTAATTACATTCTGTTAGTTGATTTTATATTTTAAGAGCACCTTGCCCCAGAATATTTTAAGGTAATTTTGTTTTGAAGGTGTCAAGCACAGAGAAACTGACAATGTGGTGTTGATAGGGTCATTCGGGTTCCTTTTTTTGCCATCCTGAAGCCAAATATCTTATAAATAGTTATATAATAACTATCTTTAAAGCTAGAACTTATATATATTTATAACACTAAAGTAATCTGAATGTTCCTGCCTGTTGTTGCCATTTTAAAGAGTGATTTTAATTTTGTAATTTGTTACCAGAAAGCAATCTCTCTCTTGCCTTCCTAAGTAGACAGTGCTCAGGTAGAATAATTAGTGTTTACTCAAGAAGATCATATATAAGTACACACCCCTTTTTCCTACAGCTCTAAGTCCTTTAATGTTATGTAGGTTGTGAACCTAATAAATAAACTGATTTTTTACAAATACCAGATCTGCTCTTTAAAGATTCCATGTCCACATAGGATGAAACTGGTTTGCGATACTTGAACTTTAGAAATTGTCCCCACCTGTTGACTGCAGTTTTTTCTGTTACACATCCTTTGAAACCTCAACTGAACAATGATCATTTATTTCAGTTTTCATTAATCTTTCATCCTTATTTTAAGAAAATAAGACTGATGCCATTGGGAGCACATCAGTTCCTGGCACATGAAATATCATTTATCCCAGCATTGAAAAACCTAACAGGAAAAACGAACAATATATTACGAATTACATTATTATGACAGCTAAGGAAAGACTATTGTGCTGTGAAAGGTGATTAGGAACAAACAGCAATAGTTCCTAACCATTTTGTAAGCAAGAACCACTTGAGATAATTGGCAATCTTCTGCACTTCATCAAAGTGCACAGACTGAGCATGACTGTACTGTTCCAAGTCACCTGTCAAACACTTTGGTACAGAGGGACCAACACCAGGGTGCTATTGAAGAAGAAGGAGCAATCTTCCTCTGTAGACTCTAATCTGATGAGTATTTGCTGCAGAAACAGTATTTTGCTGCAGTATTTTACAGACCTTGCAATTTTTATGCCTATGACTTTTAATGCCTTCACAACCCACAGAAAACAGCAATTACTTTTGGCTACAAAATTAGACAGGGAATAGGACGTGAGAAGGTATAGCTACTTCAATGACATGACACCATCATCTTTGTGTATGTCATATACAGCATATTCACTGCTCTGCACTGCCTGAAGCACAGGATCTGCACAGAAATGGGTGCCCTTGCTACTGTCATGCTCTGCACAATGCTGTCAGGGCTGGGACTCTATGGTGGGTTGGCCTTGGCTGGATGCCAGGTGCCCACCAAGGCTGCTCTGTCACTCCCCTCCCTTCAGCTGGGGAGAGGAGAGAAAATAAAACAAAAGGCTCATGGGTCAAGATAAGGACAGGGAGAGATCACCCACAGTTACTGTCACTCACAAAACAGACTCAATTCAGAAAAATCAATTCATTACCAATCAAATCAGAGTAGGATAATGAGAAATAAAACCAAATATTAAGACATCTTCACCCCTCCCTTCTTCCCAGGCTCAATTCCACTCCCAATTTGCTTCACCTCCTACCCCCCAGCAGCACAGGGGGAGGAGGAATGGGGGTTCTGGCCACTTCATCACACGTTGTCTCTGCCACTCCTTTCTCCTCAGGGAGAGGACTCCACACACTCTTCCCCCGCTCCAGCATAGGGTCCCTTCCCTCTGCTCTTCGCATATTATCATTTTGTTTATAGGCCTATTTAAAGTCCAGTGCTACTGCAATGGGTCCCACATGCTAGAAAGTTAACAGCCTCAGGATTTCATTTTGTAAACAATGTTGGAGTAGCACTAACACTTCAACAAGTCTCTTTCATAACAGAGATGTGCACAGGCTGAAGCCTGAAGTGTAACTGGGGACTGGTTACTAGTACTATTCCTCAGGGCCTTATAGTGGGGACAATGCTGGCTAATATCTTTATTATTAACCTGGGAAAAAGGAAATACCCTCAGAGAATGAATAGATTACCACAAATGAGTAAGTATTCAATACGCTCAAGGGTCCAACCTTGTAGGCTGTAGAAAGGGGCTGGCAGAAACTTCGTGAAATATAACAAACATAAATACAGCCTCCTGCATCTGGGACAGAACAACCCTGAGCAGCAGTTCATACTGATGCTGAAATATAGAAAACAGTTTTACAGTAAAGGACCTTCTGGACAAGCTGAGCATAAGTCACCAGTGTGTAGCAGTGCAGAAAAGGAGTCTGACAGGGCTGAAATAGAAAGGAAATAGACTTCATTACATGAAATACAGGGATTATTCCCCTGTATTTGACACTTTTGAGAGCACACCAGAATACTGATTCTAATTTGAGGCTTCACAATATAATACAAAGAGGAACAGAAGAAAGACTAGCAGAGGGGCTGCTAAACTGGTGCGAGAGAGCTTGGCTTGTTCAGCCCCAAGAACAGGAGATTAAGGGTGGGGAAGGGTTAATTAGTGGCCACAGAGAAGAGTAAATTGGACTTTTCTTGCAGATCTTTGTGTTAGCCTTTCATCCTTTCCCAAGGCAAGAGGCAGTAAGGGAAATACTGATGACAAGGTATGAAAAAAGTCTCCTCCATACAGGGCAATATATATCGGAATTGTTTTGCCTAGAGAGTCTGTGAAATCTCTGTTCTTGGAGAGATTCAAAAGTCAACTGGGTGAGCCCTGCACAGCCTAATCTAATTAATCTGGCCCCACCTTCAGCAAGGTATTGGACCATCTATGTCTATTTATTTCAGACTTAATTATTCTCTCATTCTAAGCTATATTTAACTGCTGGGCATGACTAGTATCTACAGACAGTAAAGAACTAAATGATTATTGGTGTATTTTGTTACCCTTCATGTAAGTACCATGCATTGCAAAGAAAACAATGAATTCATCCCAAAAATGATGTCATGTAAATATGTATGACATAAACTGTCCCTAATTAGAAGGCTAAACAGGAAAACAGACCATAAACTGTTTCAGAAAGACTGTGACTCCAGCAAGAAGTTTCTGAATGCAACCAATGCCCACGTAAATTTTGCTGTTAACTTGCACAGGAAATTTACACTGCAGATTCAGGAAATTACCTTTCTTAATAAGATTTACAGTCATGCTATTAGAAATCATGTCCCATTGGAGGAAATTTACTGTCAAAGACAGATGGAGTGATTTGAGCTGCTTCCAGATCCTTCAATGTGGTAATGAATAAAATAAAATAATTTTTTTTAAAAAAAAAGAAACATTGAAATTGCATGACACAACAGCTACTGAGAAAGAATAATGTCCCACCATCCAAAACAATGAAATGTGATACTTTTAAGCAGCAGGGATGTATATTTTGGCACCTGTACACACACCTGCTTTGTCAGTCATCAGGAACCTGCAGATTACCAGACAAGGCGAATGATGTTTAAAAATTTTCAAAAGATTGTTTGAAGAGATCTTAAATAGTACAGTGTTACCAATTGTAATGAACTGTTCTAAGACTCAAACTGTTGATAGCCAGGTATTTGGCATCAGAGAAAAAGCGATGACCTCATAGGAAAAGTGGAGGAAAATAGACAAAAGCTAGAGAAATAGCGGGAGAAAGCTCATATCATAAAAGAATGTTCTTAGTTTTGGAGATTATGGATTTATAGTTTTACAGATTCTCAGGTTACTCAACTACCCAGTTGGTTTTCCTACTTACAGATAAACACTGTCTTCATTGATTATGCCCCTGCGTATGGCAGAGGTGTTGGAATTTAGATGATCCTTTCAGGTCCCTCCCAACCCAGGCCATTCTATTATTTGCTCAAGTCGGTCTACAGCAATAAGATCTAAAAAAAACTCATGATGATATAAAACCAATTCTGAAATCTGGAAGAAAAATGCCTAACTTACAACTGAAAGCACATCTGAGTTTTTATGGCAATATGTGAATTTTATTAATTTTAAAAGATAACTAAAAACTAGGTATTATTATTGTCTTTACCTTCCAGAGGTCAGCTGTTCCTTCAACAAGTTTGGCGTTTGTCTTACTGTATTTCAGAGCCAGATGCAAACATTCAGTTCCATAATCCAGGTCATAGTCTGTACACTGTGGTAATTAAAAAAAGAAAAAATATGATTAATTAGCCTTAAAGAAATCATACTTTTAAGCAATAACAGATTTTCTTTCATTAACTAAACCTTACATCTCAACACTCCTATCCAGAATAATACATCTGTAGTAGGTAGGTTTGGGATGGATCAGAAATAAAAACTGTTCCAAGAAGCTTATGCCATATTCTAGCTATTCAGCCAAGTGTTAAAGAAGTCAATAAACACTTTCTAAGCATGAATGAATTCAATTAGGTGCTGCAAATATCTTGCTAAACCTTTACATGTGTAATCAATGCGAAGTGACATGTATAAAAAAATTTTGACTGAGTTGAGGAAGGCATCACCAAAAGACATCACTGACCTTCTAGTGACAAACCTTTACAGTATGGGAACAAGTTAATAAACTGTAGAAAAATGACTCTTCAAGTGTCCTGTCTGTTTTGGGCTTTGTAGCATCAAAATAAAGGATGGTAGCAACTAAGAACCTCTGTATTCTTTCTGTGCTTTTCTCTATCTTTTTCTCCAGTTACCTGCACAAAAAATAGCAAAGTCTCATGCTGTTTCATAAGCCTCACAAATAAAAAATGTAAAATAAAAAGAGTTTGTCCACTTTTTAATCGTCTAAACAATATATTATTCTTTCAACACACCCTTTCCAAGCAGTTTGGCTTCCTATAGGTAGTGAATATATGAATCCTACTAATGAGAAACTGAGTAGGGAGCAGAATGTAAAAATCTAAGCGGGTTAAAGAAGAACCAAATAAGAGTGCTGCAATACAACTTGCCTTTTCTTAATTGATTTCCTCAATAACTTTAATAAAACACGCAAAACAAGGTTTTTGTTTCTACTCTTGTTTTATAATGCATCAGTGAAATTCAGGGAATTCATCAGTATTACACATCTGAATTATATTACTAATACACGGAGACATCTTAGAAAAATAATAGTTATCACTTTTATATTATTCAAAGCAGTAATTTTTGTCATTTTAGTCTAAAAGTCATAGTTCTCTACAGAAGTTTTTATGGACTCTGAATTACAAAACGAAAAAGACACAAGAAGAAAAAGTAACTTAAAAAGAAAAGGGTTTCAAGAAGAGACTTTGGAATATTTTTAAATTAAGGATAAATTATTTATAGTCTTCAAATAAACAAGATAACAAAAAAGGTCAACAGAAAGTATAAAGGAATAGGGAACTCTAGCTCCAAAACACTCAAAATTCAGTAATCCCTCAAGTCCAGAGATAAAATGCCAATAAAACTAGAAATGGCCTAGTAATTTTCAATTCCAAATATTTATTCCCAAAATGTTTCCTCTTTTCATTTTGTTTTTTAAGGAAAATTTTTCTGGTAGAACTCAATCTTCTACTAATGCGAATAATACACAAAATGGATGAGAAAACTTCAGAAAAACTTAGTTGTGAAAAAATTTACTTTGAAATAAAATTAAGTTACATTTTTCAATATATGGGTAACAAATGCAACTAGGACAAAACTAAGCAATTCCAGGTTTTTAGCAAGGTATTAATTACAGATAATTAGTAGGGAGTAGAGAAGTTCCATATATGGGCTAAAGAATCTTGAGGGTATTGCTGGCTTCAAGGGATGAAATATGACACAAAGCAAAGTAATAATTAAAAACATATTTCACCAACACTTGTATGTCATGACATTTACCACTCTAATTATCTGTAATTGTTCCAACCTACACATATTGTCATAGTGTACTGTTCCGCAAGTCTGATACACTGATGTCAGAGGAGAACAATGAAATGAAGTATTAGCACAAGACCAGCTTAGTTTATATACTATCCACATGTTAAACAGCTTCACAAGTAAAATTTTAAATCCATGATTCAAGTGCAGAATTTGAAAGCTTCTAAATTACTCTAAAAAATTCAGTTAACAAATTAAGCATTATTAGGGAGTGCCTGTAACAAAAACTTGTGCATCAGGCACAGCATCACCAGCCAGTCATGGGAGGTGGCTGTCCCACTCTACTCTGCACGGGCATTGTGTGCAGTTTTGGGCACCTTGATATAAGAAGGATATAAAGCTATTAGAAAGTGTCCAAAGAAAGGCCATGAAGATGGTGAAGCACCTAGAGGAGAAGCCATACAAGGAGCCACTGACATCACTTGGTTTGTTCAGCCTGGAGAAGAAGCCAACTGAGGGGGAGACCTCATAGTGGTCTACAACTTCATGAGGGGAAGTGGAAGGGCACGCACTGATCTCTTCTCTCTGGTGACCAGTGAGAGGACTCGACGGAATGTTTGAGGAATATATCTAGTAGCTTGTTTTGCAAGCTGCAGTTCAAGATGCAGATTAAGCTCTGGGTGGGAGCCCAAGAGGCCATGAACTGTCAACCCTTTTATTAACAAAGGGCATGAAGACAGGTGGTGCCAGCCAGGTGGATGACACCAAGAGACACAGCAGGAGAGAAGGACTCAAAAGGAAGAGCAAGACTTGCATGCAGGTAGACTGTGAGGGTATAAAAGCTCAGGGGTTCCTTGGTTTGGGGTCCCTCCTTGGAGGTACCAGCTTGAGCTGTTTCTGAGTTACTGCACCATGAATAAATTGCTTTATGGATCGAGACATCTGAGACTCTGCTACAGGAAACCTGGGGTCAAACCAGTAAGGAAATCTGGCCTGACTGTGTGTGAGTGGGGTACGTAGAGAGTCACCGAGGGCACCAATCAATTCACCGCCACTGTGAAGGGGCTTCAGTCCCAGCAAAGTCTCTGGCACTGGGAGCATGACTGCCCGAGAGTCTCATGAACAGTCAGACTAGGAAATTTCCTTAAGAGAAGTGGTATGAAGCTGTGTCAGGGAGGTTTAGGTTAGATAATCGAAAAATGTTCTTCACCCAGAGGGTGGCTGGGCACTGGAACAGGCTCCACAGGGAAGTGTTCACAGCACCAAGCCTGACAGAGTTCAAGAAGTGATTGGACAACACTCAGGCACATGGTGTGACTCTTGGGGCTGTCCTGTGCAGGGCCAGGAGTTGGACTTGATGGCCCTTGTGGGTCCCTTCCAACTCAGGATATACTACGATTAAAAAAAAAAAATCCAGGATACGTATGAAGAAAATTCTTATTGACCCAGATATGCAACCATTCTCATCCTAAGTCTTCTGTATGTATTTCAGTGTAATCTACAGTCAATTTGCAATACAAAAATCTGTTTAAAACTCCTCCTATTTCTAAAGCCCCTTTATGACTGAAAGCCTTTTTAACATAAAGTTTGATAGCGTACAGTTAACTGAACTTGACGTGCACACAACTTTGTGAAACAATAGACATAGTTTAAGTTGCAGACCACAGATTTGAAATGGTAGAAGCGGCTGGAAATACTGGCACAAAACATATCCACAAAAGAACGAAAACATATTAGCTTAGCTCTTTAAATGACAGAGAAGGAAATACGTTACTTAAAAATGCTTTTGTACTGGTGATTATTCAAAGGCATTCTAATAGGTAGTTCTGGGGAGGCCTTTTTGTGGGTGGGGTTTTTTTTGTTTACTTGTTTTCCAAGAGTGGATGTTTTAATAAAGTGCTATGGGTGGAGTGAGATCCAGATTTTAGCATTACACCAATTCTTTTTCCCTCTCCCCCTAAATTAGTTTGAAAATATTTTGATAAATACTACTGTTTACTAAAATGCAAGGTATACTGTTGCTGCTTCGACATAAACATGGAACAAGGGGTTAGAGAAAAGAGCAGCTATGCAGCCTGTGTCTCTCTGCTGCTTACTAATAGTCCATACCCTCACTTGTTTCCAGTAAATATAGTATTCAAATACTGTTCAAAGTATTGTACCTTTATCCTGATAAAAGAGTTTGAACGCATATATGGGAACTGGTAAGTTCCTATAAAGTAGAACAAGCACAGATGCAAAAAGACATTTTCATTACAGCACTGTCATTTTCTCATCTTTTCATCATTCTTTAGTTTATAATAAGGATATAAAATCAATATTATTTATGCCTTAACTGAAAGTAAATCTTCAGATTTGCTCCTTTACACAGGTACCTTTAAAGCCTGCATAGAGCTAGCATTTACACTTGTGTAATCCTTGGCTATGTCATCTTAAGTACTTTTTCCACTGTCAGGAGTAAGTGTCTCCATCTTACTCTCCCATGTAAATCCATTCAGTAACAATGTCAGAACACTTGTGCTCAAAATGCATAACTAATTAACAATAGCAGAGCTTTATGATTTTTCCAGATCCTTGCAAATCAAGTTTCCACTGCTGAAACGCCAGAGTACAACATGGACATTCACCATCAGGAACATTTTACCAAGTTAAAAAGAAGCAGACAGAAGCTCTCACTGAACCTCAATTGCTCCATTTTTCAATTGTACCTTATAAATTTTATTTTTTTTGCCATGGAAACCAAAAAAATGCTCAATCCAACAGTGGATTTGCAGCAAGCACTCAGCCTACAGTGACACACCACAGCTAAATGAGAAATAGCAGAAGCAGCAAATGAAGGAAACATGAATGAGCAAACACTGAGATTAATGTGAGTTCAGATAAGCTCATCTCTGAATTACTAGTTATTAATTATTATTAAAACTGCTGTGACATACATCCAGATGCAGTAGTGTTTCACAGTGGAGAGAATAAAGATACAGCAATTTACTCTCTAACAGAGTTAAGAAGGCCTTTTTTTATACAGATCTGTATCTATATCCCAATGCCTTTCAGTGCCCTCTCCAGACATGCCATGACTTCCCAGCACTATATCATTAGATCCCCCAAATACTTCCTGATTGCCTTTTGGAATATTTTGGCACTCAAGTTGCTTTTATGTACTCTAAATGCCCATTAAAGAACTTAGGCATTGGTTGGTTCCAAGATCCCAGCAGAACAGAAGACAACAGCTGAATTCACATTTCAGCCACAGAGCTGATTCTACAATTCTATGATTAAAGCCTATTCTATAAGTCATAACGTTATTCTGACTGCTACTGCTTCTGCCTCTGCAAAAGA